TATGCCCCAGACTGTTTCCCTAAAGCTTTGTATGTAGATGCAATTTCAAATTCAGAGAAGTGTTGCAAGAAGAAAATTCACCATCAACCCAGAATGGAGGGCATTTTGAGAACCACTGAGTTATGTCAAAGGTCTGAGACAAACAGAAAGGAAACCAAGAACAAAGGTCAGGATATTATTGAACAAAAAGCAAACCGACAACCTAAGAACAAAATGCTGAGGCCAGGCTGGACCCATGGATTGGGTCCAGGGCTCTGAATGATGGAGCATCGTTATCAACCACAAATACACTTGCTTGGTTTTCTTGAAGCCCCCCAGAGTGATAGATACTACAGAGACACTAGGCCCAGGTTAAAAAAAAAAAAAAAAAAAAAGCAATTACTTGGGAAGGAAGTTCTAGATTTGAGAGGATTACAGCTCCCTCTGCATTCTTCCCTGGCTCAGGATTCTGCCTCCAACCAAATTTCTGCAGTGGACCCTACCTACACCCTGCCTCTTGTCTCCTTCCCTTCAACTACTCTCTGTTCTAACCCTAAGGTCATCTCTCCACACCAGCTACTGATCGCCCTGCAACCTAGTGTGTGACATCCCAGGCCCCAGCATGGCCTTTAACCCAGCCCATGGACCTGCCCACCAGCTCCATTCACCTTGCCTTCTGTAGTACACAACAGATTCTCTCTCTCTCTCTCTCTCTCTCTCTCTCTCTCTCCCCTCTCTCTCTCTGTGTGTGTGTGTGTGTGTGTGTGTGTGTGTGTGCAAGCAAATGTATGTCACATTAGTACAGTTCCCACAGAGTCCAAAAGAGAATTCCAGGTCCGCTAGAGCTGGGGTTACAGATGGATGGCTGTGAGCCACGGATGTAGAAGGAATCAAATTCGGGAGCTCTCAAGAGCAGAAGCCAAGCACTTTCAGCCACGAGCCACCTCTGCAGCCCATCTGGTCACAGTCTTTACAGCTGTGTGGCCACCAAGGGACGTGTTACTGAGTCGGGTATGGCAGCCACCCAAGCCTCTAGGAATAAAAGAAAAATAACTACAAGAAAACAGTTAAGCACCAATTCAGGGTTTTTATTAACCTTGCCTTTAAAATGTGGGATAATCTTCCTAGTTCATGGAGGGACACAAAAACCCGCCATGCTCATACACAGGGCAGAGCTTGCTCCCTTCTCCCTCAGCAGCAAGGACCCACAGCAGTGCTATCTGATTGAGGCTGAAGGCCAATGAGAGAGAGACACAGCCAGGACACCACACTAAGATACTCTACTGTATGCCACAGTCCTTGAGGAAATAGCTTGAGATGCCAGGCTCGCTCACTTACCGCATTTACAAAACAGAAACCAAGTCCTTGAAAGATGTGTGTGAGTCCCGGCAGAATGGCAAGAGGGGCACTTCTCAGCACCACAGCATGGGCAACTTGCAGGGCCAGGCATGCGGTGTGGGGGCTCCCCTGTAGTGCTACTGGCCGTCTACCTGGAACACACACGTGGCCTGAGAGATTACCCACGCTTGGTTCCCACTGGCCCTGAAGTAAGTGCAGATGGGAAAAGGCTGAGGGAAAACCCAACCAAGTTGGAGCGATTTTAAACATGTTTGAATAAATCTGGGGAGAAGGCTCAGGGGGCAGAGGGCTTATCACACAAGAGTAAGGACCTGCATCCAGGCCCCCAGAACACACGGGAAGCCAGGCACAGTGGCGTGCAGTTGTATCCCAGGAACCCTGTGGGAGGAGGAAGACAGACTCCCGGAAGCTTGCAAGCCAGCTAGCCCAGTGTACATAGTGAATAACAGACCTGTCTCGGACAAGGTAGGAGGTGAGGAACATCCTTAACTTCCACACACCACACACATACACATGCACATACATGTGCACATACAATATACAAACTAAACAAGGCAGCCTGAACGGATTACCAAAATCCCGGAAAACCCCTACGAAGAGCAGGGGCCACTGGAGGGAGGTGCCAGTCAAAGGAACAGGATCACCACCAAGAACGGTTCATATCCCAGGCTGCTGAAAAGATGGAGTGTACTCATGCTTAGACACAGTTAGTACTCGTGTAAATACAGGTTCATAAGTTCCACAATGGACACACATCCAAACATCACATCGTAGTCAATAAACAAATGATTACCTTTCAATTCAAATAAAACTAAAGGAGTTTCATTATTATTAAGAAGTAAGTTAGAAAAAAATCTGTCTTAAGTAATACAAGCTCATGCCACAGTGTCAGCAAACCTCAACCATGGCCAACACTCAGATGGCATTCTCTTTGCTTTTTGGGAAGCATCAGTCACCTACCTGTGGGGTGAAGTCGGAGATCTTCATATCATAGTGTGAGCCACTGACAACCTGTCTGACGAAGTCCTCTACAAGAGCAGAGAAAAGTCAACCCTGGGGATTCCAAGTCAAAACACAAAGTCACAGGGAGAGGGATACTTGGGAATCCACACATCCAGGCTCCGGACACCACTCACAGGAGACCAAAGGTAAAACAGTGTCAGGTAGGTGAACAGACAGACAGCTAAAGTCAAACGTGATAAGCCCATGATGGAGTGCTATAAACAGATAGACAGTCGGCCAGGCTAGGGAGGACAGGCCGCCAATCACAGCCAGGTCAAGAAGACGACTCCCCTTAGGGCTGAGTTTCACTCACCAGGTGAGTCACTTCACCAAAAGTGATATATTCGCGATGGGGCATGAGATGGCCTTTAAATGGAGACAGACGCGGTCCACAGCATGGATGGGCCTTGGAAATGACACACTAAGTAAACAGACACACAAAAAACACACAGCCTATGATTCCACTTACATGAAATACCTACCAGAGCCCAAGCCACAAAGACCAGGAGCTGGGGAGACAAACAGGAAGTTGTGGAACAGACATGGTTCTGGCTCAGTTCTGGAGAGAGAGTGGTGACAGCTGCATGAGGATTTATGCGTGCTAAATGTCACTTCTGCATCGATGCCCAAAGTGGCTGAAGTAGGGATAGGGAGACGGCTCAGTGGGCAAGGTGCCTGCTACACAAACACGAGGTTCCCGGATCCCACATGAAAACACAGGCAACATGGACCTGAATTCCCAGCACTGGGAAGGAGGAGTTAGGATCCCTGAGGCTCACTTACCTCACTCACAGACAGTCCAGATAAAACTCAGTGAGAGATACTGCCTCAAAAAATACAGCAGGGAGAAATGGAAGAAGGCACCATGCTGGATAGTTCTATGTCAACTTGACACAAGATAAAGTCATCTGAGAGGAGCGAACCTCAGTTGAGAAAATGCCTCCATAAGCTCAGGCTGTGGCCAAGCCTGCAGGGCATTTTCTTAATTAGTGCCCATCCCACTGTGTGGTGCCACCCCTGGGCTGGTGGTCCTGGGTTCTATAAGAAAGCAAACTGAGCAAGCCATGATGAGCAAGCCAGTAAGCAGCTCCCCTCCATGGTCTCTGCATCAGCTCCTGCCTCCAGGTTCCTACCCTGTTTGAGTTCCTGTCCTGACTCCTTCAGTGATGAACAGTGATGGGGAAATAAAAGTCAAATAAACTCTTTCCTCCCCAATTTACCTTTTGGTCATGGTGCCTCATCGCAGAAATAGAAATCCTAACCAAGACAGACACCAAGTGTCGACTTCTGACCTTCACATACGTGCACACACACACGCATGCACACATTCAAAATGATTGAAATGACAAATCTTACTTTTACTCTAGTTTTTAAAAAATGGATTTGAAAAAAATTTGGTAATTTCTCGAACGGTTTTGACCCATATTCCGAGCCTCTTTGAGCCAACAAGGCATGAGCTGCAACCGAAGTCTGTCTCATGCAGCTGGATTTCAGGCATGTACACAGCATGGCACGAAGGATGGGCTTCACGCACAGACATTGAGTCCATTTTATTTCTAAAATAATTTGTGTCCAACATGAATGGTGTGTTTACACTGAGTGCAAGCCCCAACCAAACACGCAGAAAGAGAAGTCACAGCTGTGGAAGTGTGTCCACCAACCGACCTGGCAACCATCTGTTTGTGTTACTGTCCTTCGAGCCCAGGGGTCCAAGTCACATGGAAGGTTGTGAAGTCCTGATTTTATGTCATAGGGCACTTCTGGAAGGAAGTTCTGCCCTGGCTGGCTCTGAGTGCTTACAGACTTCCTACACAGGAAGTCCTTCTGTGTCTCACCTGCGTGAATTCCTGTCATGAGGCCAGGGGGTGGCAAGCCAAACCCAGCTCCAGGGACTGATGTCATCTTGACTGAGGTCTGATCTTGGTGACCTGCTATATCCCAACCTGGTATTGTGACAGCCCTTCAGCTGGGTTTCAGATTATAAAGGGAACGAAAAGGGGAAAGGGGAGACAAATAATAGAAAAAGGGAAAATGCTTGCACATTTCCTGTGTTTCAACAAACATTTCTGCTTCTGTTTATCTTGATGGGAGACCTGGAAGTCAGCAGATGGATGCTGAGATGCTCCTGGGGCCAGGGTGGCCTCTCACACAGACTCTAAAAGCACATGCTTTAGAACGGAAGGAAAAATTCAGGGGCTGGAGCTCGGGACACCGCTTGCCTAACATGCAGGCACAAGGTTCTGATACAACAAACAAACAAAACACAATGACAACAGAAAATTCCAGTCATTTCTGGTGGCCTCTCACGTGGAAGCAGTGCCTTGTCCCACAAGAAGTTTGGCAGACACTAACACTTGAGGCATCTCTAGGTTTTGGCAAACAGCGTGGTGGCAGCGACGCTACCTTAGCAAGATGACGTGGCATCACCAGACATGAGACAGGTGAGCGTCAGGAGCTCAGCTCAGCATCACCTCGCTGGGCTGTGAAACAGGATGTGTATACACGACAGACTATGGGTCCAGGTATGTCAGCCCAAAGGAAAACAAACACCCTCGGCCACAGCAGCAGCAAGTGTCCACCTTCCACAAGAGCAGGAACAGAAAAGAAGGACTCTTCAAAATGAACCTTTAAATCTTAAGCTATTAATAAAGACGCCATCCGAGTTTTAACCACATTTATTGGACATCATGATTTCTTGTTACACTGGCAGCTTGGGGATGAACACCCCTCCCTTTTGTGTTAACAGAAGTGGGAAAACAGAGCCCAAGAGAATGAGCAGAGGATGCAGGACATGGAGCCAGGGGAGACGGACAGGAGTCAGGCATGTTCCCAGGAGCCCTCAGAGTTAGCAGCATCAACCAGCAGGTTCAAAGCTGGCAAGAGTGTTTTTCCTCAGTTCCCCTGGCCCTGTCAGCACTGGGCATTCCTCCTCACACTGTCAGCAGCCTGGCGACACTGTCCACAGAGCAGATTAGTGTGTTACTCAGCAAATCCTGACTCAGTCGTGTGAACCAGTCTTGTTCAGCAGAAGCACCATCAGCTGTCACCACAAGGCCCCCCAGTCACGTAAATGCCCCTTCTACACTTACAGCTTCCCAGCAGAGGTGTTTTGCACAGGTGTCTGCCACACACCTGAAACCCTGAAGTCACATTACGTCACATCTGGGGGAAGGCGAGAGCAGAGCCGCTGCTGGCAAGGTTCACTGGTCTCATGTCAGACGGGGGTAAGGGAGTCTGTCAGCCCACTGCCCCGCTGCGTCCTCTAAGGCCTTGTCCCAAGGCTCTGGCACAGCAGCTGAAGGAAGACTAGCCACTCCTGAAGTCCTATCACAAGGGGTCTCGTGACATTCATCTTGTCAGTTCTGCCCAGTCCACTGGAGTGAAGAATGGGTGAGATTTGATGTCTTCAACACCGGCCACTCCAGCACCCAGACGCTCCAGAGGGTTGAACTGCAAGAGCTGAAACAGAAGCTTCTGTGAGTGACAGGAACACAGAAGCAATGAGAGAAAAGGGGGCTGTGAAGGGAAGGACTTCAGGACCGGCTATCTGGCTGTGGTCTGGGGGAGCATGCCACCTGAGTGACAAGCTGGTCAACAGCTTTCCCTTATCCTCAAAGAGGGTAACAGGATCAAGAGATGTAGCTGCTTTCTCCAGGACTCAGGAGTCTGGGAGTCCCACTGTCTTCCAGTTCCTTAACGCTACACCACCAGGACATACGCTCAAATCTGAACAAGCAAAGCTATGTCCCCAAACCACTTCCTTTGAACTGGCTGGTACATTTGATGAAGTAATTTGATCCAGTAAATGAAATAGGTTATGACTTATTCAGAATTAGGAATTATGTATAAAATAAGAAAATAATGTCATAGGCAGTCAGATTTTTAAGAGTAAAAACAAGAAGCAATGAAGGCCCTGGGCATGCTGGGAGCGTGTGCCTGAGACATGCCTGCATCCTCACATTCTGTGTCAACAGCTTCGCTAAGGGACAATTTATACACCATATAGACATCTACTGCAAGTCCAGGTCAACAGACTTGGGCATGGTCCAGCCCAGCTCCAGGCCCCCCTGAAAAGGGGTGCTCCGTGACATCTGTTCCCCACAACCTCAGCCCACAGCAGCCACTGCTCTGAGCCTGCCCTTCCCAGGCAGCTATGGGGTGCAATACTAAGTGAGTCTTCGCGCTCTCCTTCCCCAGCACAGCGCCAGTGGGAATGAACCATCCGTGGATAAGCACTGGTTTTTCTCCTGATTGATAGTCCACAATGCCTCTACCATTGTTCATCTACTCGTTGGCTAGTGGGCTCCAAGCTCCCAGTTCCGGCTGTACTGAACGACATAAGAGTCATGTGTGTTGCTTAGGAGGTCAAGTGTTTCCAGCTGAGTTTATTCCTCGGGTCAGAACTCCTCAGTCACACAGCAGGCTTATATATAACTTATTAAGAAACTGCCAAACTGTCCCAATATGGCCATACCTGTCTACAGTCCCATCAGCAAGGAGCGAGAACCCTGGGTTTTCTGCCTCCGTACCCTCTGGCCTTGAGTGAAAGCAGCTCTAGAGGGCCCGTGCCTCTCGTGGTGGCTTTAATTGTACTCCCTGGGACTAATGACACTGATCATGGCTGTATGCCCTGATAACCATCCAGATAGCCTCTCGGCTGAAACAGCTCACCTTCCACCCATTTCCACACCAAGCTGTCTGTCTTGCTTGGGTGACAAGAGTCCTGTATTCATCCTGAACACAAGCACAGACAGCGGTTTGCAAACATCTTCCCCAGCCCGTGGCTTTCCACTTTCTCCACACATCTCTGAAGTGCTCACATTTTTAATGTTAATGAAGTCGACTTTATCAGTGTTTCTTTTATGGCTCATGCTTTGGTGTTCTAAGAGCTCTGTCGTAGCCCAAGGCCATGTGCGGTTTCTCGTGTTTCCTCTACAGGTTTGACAGTTCTAGCTCCTCCACAGAGTCCTGGGAGTTACTGTGAGTTAGTCTCTATGCAGGACGCAGTAAGGGTGGGGCTCAGCTGAGCACTGAGTCCCACGCATGTGTACAAAGCACACGGCTGTCCTGATGACTGCAGTACAGGGCGAGCTAGTTCACAGCAGCGTTCTTTAAGAGTGCTCCAAACGCCAGGCATCTCCACCTCTGTATGCTGCAGCTGGACAGTCTCCAGACACCACACACCTTTTCAAGCTGTGATTCCCCTTCTTCCTCTCTCACTGGTTTCTGTTGCTTCTGTTTATTTGTGCTTACTTTATTTGTATAGTTCTGTATTCATTCATTTTTTTAAGTAGGGACCCATTCTAGAGCCCTGACTGGCCTTGAACTCATGGCAATCCTCCTGCCTTAGCTTGCCAATTGTTGGGATCATAAGCATGAGCGCCCATGCCCAGTTCTTTTCGGTGTCTGAGGTGCAAGCCTAGACTCCAACGTCAGGGCTCCTCCTTGTGTAAATGCAGGTATAATAACGGTACTGGTCCTCCACAAGCCCTGGGATGGGTTTCTACTTCCATATACAACAATAATGTGTTGTGATTCTTCTTAGGACTTCTTTGACCTGTAAGTTACTCAGAAGTAAGTATGGGGTTTAATCCCCAAGTATCTGTAGATTTAGCTGACTCTTTTTGGGGTTCGGAGTGCTTTTTGTTTTGAGCTGTTTTTTGTTTTTTGTTTTGGAAGCAGGATCTCCTGAAGTCCAGGCTGGCCTATAACTTGCTGTAAAGCCAAGGATGACCTTGAAACTCTGGCCTGCCTGTTGTCTGTTATTGATTGATAATTCCTCTGCTGTTGTCAGAGTACGCTGTTAGACTTCAGCCTTTCTAACGGTGGAGGTATGGGTGCAAAGCACACAGTCACCCGAGGCTGCTTTCAATGGGCATGGTGAGCATGTGCACTCTGCAGACACTGTGCGTGGTAAGCGTGTTCCCTCTGCCATCACTGCAGAGGCTCCATCTGTATCCTGAACATGTACAGAGGATGTCCATGCATCCCCTACAGCCTGCTGGTGTCCACAACTACCTAGATCAAATATGGAGGACTCCATTTGTTTTGCTGAACTATTTTTCCCTTCAATTCAGCCTTTTTGTGTACTTTGGGCTATTACCAGGTGCACTTCCTGTGCTGACCTCTCCTCCCAAGATGCTGTCTGTTGTGCGCAGGCCCCTGCTCTAATGTCCATTTGCTAACCTTTAGTACCCCAGCTCTCAGGGTGACTGTGCAGTTTGCCTGTCCTTAACCTTTCTCTTTAGCCCATTTGTATTTGAACTCAAAGTTGTCCCGTCTACTTTTCCAGGTACTTCAATGACTTGTACAGTGTGTACAGACACTCACTTAGGAAGTTCCCAGGGTTCCTTTAGCAGTTGCTGTAGAGATCACACAACTTAATTTATTATAATCTACTTCAGAATAGCACTAACTCAGTAACAGGCAGAATTTTCTCCCTCCATGGCCCAATCCTACCCACCTACTATTGCTAGGTACAGTCACCATTTGGTGTCCACGGGGTCCTGGTTCCAGAGTCTGCATGAATACCAAGATACATGGTTCTCAAGTCCGCAACAGTGCTCGAACAAGTCTATAAGTGGTGTAGGACAATTGTCTATATTCTGTCAATTATGTTTTGAATAAACGCTGATTGGCCAGTAGCCAGGCAGGAAGTATGGGGGGGGGGGACAACCAGACAGGAAGTAGAGGCGGGTCAGTGAGAACAGAATTCTGGAAAGGAGGAAGCCCATTCCTCCCCAGTCCTGCCCAGACACAGAAGAAGGAAGATGTGACCTACCCCACTGAAAAAGGTACGAGCCATGTGGCTAACATATACTAGAATAATGGGCTAATATAAGTTGTAAGAGTTAATAAGAAGCCTGAGCTAATGGGCCAATCAGTTTATGATTAATGTAGACTTCTGTGTGATTTCTTTGGGGCTAAATGACTGTGGGACCTGGTGGGAGGACAGAAACTCAGACAACATATAAGCATGTCTCCCACACTTCAAATCACCTCAGATGACTTTAACACACAACACAAAGTGACAATGTACAAACAGCTTCTGCACTGTGTAGAGAGAGGTGACGGGAAAAACACACACACACAACACACAATCCTTTCTAGCTTTTCTTTTTTTCTGAAGCAGGGTCTCATACTGTGACTCAGATTGGCCCGGAATGCCTCAGTATGTAGCCCAAACTAGCCCTGAACTAATGGTAGTTCTCCTGTCTCAGTCTTCCACATGTTGGGATTACAGGTATGAGATGCCAAGCCCTGACAGCCTACACACACACACACACACACATACACGATCTGTTGTTTGAATTTGGGATTGAAAAATGGACTTACACCAAGAGCTACATTTATATCGTATCTATACATGTCATAAACCCAATACCACCATCTCATAATTATCACTACATGTGTATTTTTTAAAACAGGTGGGAGATCTAAATGGAAAAATATACTTAGAGGCTTTTTATGAACTTCTCTCAACCACTGCACTGTTCACAGCGTGCTCAGACCTGAGCACCCAACCTGCCACCATGCCCTCCACCCCGAAAGAGTCCCTAGCTCCTGCACATGTGCATCCATGGCTGGGAGCTACTCAGTCATTCTTTATCTGGGAGTGTCTTTATTTTACCATTTATGAAAAGTAACTTTTCTGAATTATAGGCTGACTGATTCTTCCCTTCAATACTATGAATGCTATCCTAGTATCTCTGGTTTCCGTTGTTTTCAACAAGAAGCAAAGCATCAGATGGACCTTTCTCTTGCTGGCTTTACATTTTTCCTGTTTTTGCTTTTCAACAATCTGGCATCAGTGTGCCTGCATGTGGCTCTCATTTTTCTATGCAGTGTCCACTAAGTTTCTTCTGTGTCACTCCTGAAACAAGGGCTGTTTTCACCCATTATTCTTCAAGTATTTCTGCTTCTTTTCCCAACTTCCTCTTCTTCTGGAACTCTCATTGTATGTACATTGGTGCATTTGAAAGAAAAATATTGCCTCATAGACCCCTCTGGACCTGTTCATTATTCTTCATACATTGGAGCGTGTTTTCAGAGTGGGCCATTTCTTCCGACCCATCCTACTGCTTATATTTTAGACATGTCAGCGTGTTCTTCCGGGGATTCCTCAGACATGTCAGCGTGTTCTTCCGGGGTTTCCTCAGACATGTCAGCGTGGTTTTCCGGGGATTCCTCAGACATGTCAGCGTAATCTTCCGGGGATTCCTCAGACATCTCAGCGTGTTCTTCCAGGGATTCCTCAGACGTGTCAGTGTGGTCTTCCGGGGATTCCTCAGACATCTCAGCGTGTTCTTCCTGGGATTCCTCAGACATGTCAGCATGGTCTTCCTGGGATTCCTTGGACGTGTTAGTGTGGTCTTCCAGGGCTTTTTTGGACCTGTCAGCGTGGTTTTCTGGGGATTCCTCAGACATCTCAGCGTGGTCTTCCAGGGATTTCTCAGATATGTCAGCGTGGTCTTCCGGGGATTTCTCAAGATATGTCAGCGTGGTCTTCCGGGGATTTCTCACTTCATTCAGTGAACTTATCAGTGTAATATTTCAACCTGGTTTTCCTCAACTTTTCATTTTGTAACTTATTTTATTGTTATGACACCTTCCCTTAATTCTTTAAACACAGCCTATTTTGATTCTCTGAAAATATTATAGTAACTGGTGGGTGTTTTGTTAAGCCCAGATCTGGGGTCACCCTGAGACAATTTCCATAAAATGATACTCTCTGCACAAGTCCCACCACTTATGCCTCCACTACAGTCATGTGACATTTCCCTGAAAACAGAATGTTTCTACATGGTGTGTCTCCATAAACATTACATAGCTGTGGTCTGTGTCCCCATGAACATTATCACAGCTGTGGTCCGTGTCCCCATGAACATTATCATGGCTGTGGTCTATGTCCTATGAACATTACATGGCTGTGGTCTGTGTCACCATGAACATTACATGGCTGTGGTCTGTGTCACCATGAACATTACATGGCTGTGATCTGTGACCCATGAACATTACATGGCTGTGGTCTGTGTCCTTGTCTGGTACCCACTTCACTCAGTTCTGAAGTCCACAGCCTTCCCTCCCCCTGCACTGTAAAGCGCTGCTGATGTCTCTGGTTGGTTGGCTTTGCTCTTTCAGCTGGGCTTCCCATGTCTCTATAGCTTAGCTGTCCACCAGGGACTCAGTAAAGGCTGTGTCCAAACAGCCAGTCAAGCCTCCATCTCTTTCCACAGGCAGGAGAAGCCATTCACAGTTCAGGCCCAAACAGTCTACGCTGGCCTACGGAAAGTTCCTATCCATTCCTGATGCTCAGAGCTTGTCCCTATAGCCTGGTCCCATGATGAAAGGAAGGAGAAACAGGTGGATACTGTAAAGACGATGAGGCAAGACATCTTTGCCCTATGCTCAGCTGATTCCCCGGTCACTGCACCCTTTAGTCAGTTTCAGGGGCACTAAAATGATTTCCCCACTCCTGTCTGGTGCTGGAGCACTGGGGAGGGGGACTTGCCAGCATCATTGTCTACCAAAGGCCACTATCCAACTTTAGCCAAGAGTCCACTTTCTTTATTTTTAATTTTTGCTCATTATTTATTAATTTAACTATCTATAAAATAAACAGCACCTGGTGTGCTGTTCATAAATAAGCAACAACTGTGTGTGCTAGTCCCTGGCTTTAGAACCCTTTATGACAGTTTCGTGCATTTGTGTAACTAATTTTGGCTCATTTCTAGTCCACAACTTCTAAGCCTTTCCCCTGCAAAACCAGCAGTTGCCAGATTCCTGCATCAGCAGCCCCATAATGCAAGCATGTGCCCCATCAAATTACAGAAGTCATGAGCCTCAACCCTGCCCTTCTACAATAATTAAGACTTGAGATCGCACTTGTCGCAGGCCAGCCATTAGCCTAACTGGGTAACATGGGTGGACTTAGGCTCTCAGCCCACTGTAACTCTGCCGGCAACGGCCCTTTGTTCCTTTTGTACAGAAACTACTAACCTGCTTAATAAGATCACACAGGTATTAGGTTGCCAAGCAGGGTTTGAATTCAAGCACATTGACTCCAGAACCTATAACACAACATGGCATCACAGTCCCTGGTGTGTGATTAGAGTCTGAGAAGCCATTCCTTCACTTGGATGTGACCAGCCACATACTTCTACACAAGTACCTGGGATGTGGATACACAACTAACCCCAGCATTGAGGAGGCAGAGACAGAAGGATTATTTAAGTTCAAAGTCAGCCTGCTCTTAAAGTTTTGGGCCAGCCAGAGCTACATGATAAGACCCATTTCAAAAGTAAAAAAATAAATAAAATACTAATATTTTAACCTGAAGTTATTTGTCTAGCATTCTAAATCATCCTAGTACTGTGTGTGTATGTGTGTGTGTGTGTGTGTGTATGTGTGTGTGTGCGTGTGTTTTGGGGCAGAGGGAGGGTTCAAGACAGGGTTTCTCCATGTAACCCTGGCTGTCCTGGAACTCCCTCAGTAAACCAGACTGGCCTCAAACTCACAGAGATCCACCTGCCTCTGTCTCCCAAATGCTGGGATTAAAGGTGTGTGCCACCACCACCCAGCTCTAGTACTGTTTATTAAAGCTAATTGTTCACAAAACTTTCATATTAGAAGTTCCTGAAATGTAAGTTTTTAGATTGATTTATTTTACGAGTGTTTTGCCCACATGTATGTATGTATACCACATGCATGCCAGTTGTCCACAGAGGTCAGAAAAGGGTGTTGGATCCCATGGAACTGCAATTATGGGTGGCCATGTGGGTGCTGGGAACTTAACTCAGGTTCTCTGAAAGAGCAGCCAGTGCTCAAAGTCCTCAGTCAACTCTCCAGCTTGCCAAGATGTGTTTTAAAGGCTATTATTATGAACATAATGGGAATACCTCAACTGTATTAGACCCATTTCAAAGACAACTCACACCTGATCTGCTCTGCTGATCTGCAAGCCCGAGGTACTGACCCCGGGGGTCGATTCAATTACCTGTTGAATGAGTGAGCGAGCCTCCTCAGAAACGCAGTCTGGCATGTTCAAAGTGGTGTGGGTATTTATTCCTGCGGGATGGCACTCCACCAGCGTCTGAAACAGCCAATCAGTTACATTTCTTATCCCAAGTCACATCACACCCTGCTATACCACGGGGCACACAGGCAGCAGCTACAGAGAGCTGACACCATCTAACGTGGAGGCACAGCCGTCAACACGGCCTCACCGAGAAAGATTAGGCTGTGAGCCTACAGAGATCTGCAAGGAGCTGCCAGTCACCATGCTCCCGTCACAGGCTTGTGCCACCGTCCCTTCTCCTTCATAACCAGAAAGCTGAAACAACACACAGGCTCCAAAGGGGGACTTGACAGCTTTGAAGGAACTAATGTTCTGGGAAATCTTTCCAGGGTGGAGTTTGTCCAGCACCACCTTAACGCGTGGACAGTTACATTTTACAGTTTGCCTACAAATGCCAGCTCCTGTGTACTCCACGGTGATCTTACATTTCTAATTCATACACTGAACAAAGTGGGACCACGCAACTACTCCTGGTTCCTCCGAGGAGGCAACAGGCACAAGACTCAGCTAAGGTCTATTAACCTCAAGCATCAAGCTTAAAAGTTCCTAATCGGAGCGAGTGCACGCTGTCCCCATCTTAGAACAGAGAGAGGAATGTGCGGTGTAGGAGGAAAGACACTACCTTTAATGTCAACATTAACTTTTTAAGACTGAATGTCCCCTGGATTCAGACAAGAACCTGAAAGAATCCAGAGGACTCTAACACATGCCGGTGACGACCCCACAGATGTGGTTCTGCTAATGCTGTCTCGCTAGGCGGGCGGGAGATGAGCCGAGCCTCTCGCTGGGTAGCTATGGTATAGCAGAGGATTGCCATCAACTGTTCAATGTTACAGGGCTTTTTTAAAAATCAGTATCTTGATAAATTCCTCTGCCTGCTTCTGACATTGAAGTTTTCCTCAGCCCCTGACTACAGGAAAGGCTAATGCGCTTGACTTGGAGTCGGGGTGGCATCTGGATGCATGCGCTAGGTGTCTAGGTCACTGCATACCTTGCCAGTGAGAAGTTCGAAGAGGACAGCGCCCAGGCTCCACCAATCACAAGCTTCCGTTTCTTCTGTGACTGCTCCAACCTCTAAACACACCAAAAAAGGTTGATATTAAAATTCCAGAGGTCAATTAAACTTTCAAAATTAACATGTATTAGCAAGGTGACCTTGTTAATGCTGAGAGAGCAAATACTAAACACTCATGGGCTTTCAAATCCCTGAAAGTCCCTTCTCTCTTTGCTCACCTACTGGGGTTGCATTTTTTTCCCGACATAGTCATACATTAAATGGAGACATTTGTTCTCTGGTTGACGGAGGGACACCTTCAAGACACTGTGCTTAAGGTTTCCTGAACCAACCAGATCAGCACTTGTTCCCTCTTTCAGATTCGAGGGAGCACAGCTGATTTCCCTGGTCAAACCATCTTTTGTTTTAGAAATAAAGACTCCCTGTAACCAGACGGCACTTCAAAAATTACCTAGGCCAGCATAATCACCCCGTTAGAAACCAGGGGCACACGTCACCCAATGTCAAGTAAGAGCGGATGACCCGCCTCTCCCTTCATCTCTCAGCTTCTTTCACTGAAGAAGGAGCCTGGAAATGCGAGCCCACTCATTCTGAAGTACAAAAGAAATACTGCTTAAAGCCATAAGCGAAAATGCTAGGGGCTTAGAATAGCCAGAAACCACAGTTCTATCTGTTCGCTCCTGGAGGAACTCTGAAGTATCATCTTTCAGGTCGCTCCACAATGAGCACCGATTCTGAGGCTACAGCCACTAAATCCTGCCTGAGGCCTGTTCATTCTTCCATAATGATAGCTGATCAGTCCCAAGGCCTTGCTAGGATCTGCCCTCTGACACCATCCCAACAAAAGCAGCTTGACTACAGGGAGCCTACGACTCAAGACAAAATATGCAGAAGTTTCTAGAGGGTTGGTGAGAACTTGAAAAGTAAGTGAAGCAAGCATAGGAACCCTGGTTTTAACCAACACTCTGCAGAGCCCTTGAGGGAGCCCTACACGACTCTCAGGACATTGAGCTTCAAGTCCTGAAGCAAGGGCTGAGTGACACTATCCCTCACGCAAAGTACCAGATTTGGGCCATTTCAGCAGTCTCTTGTTGCTTCTTTGGGGCTGCAAACAGTCTAAGCATAACTAGGCCCGTGCCACAGACCTTCCCAGCCTGTCTCTGCCTCCAGGGCTTCACACCAACCACAACCTCTACTCTCTGATGAGCTGACCTCAGCTATGCAGCAGAAAAGAAACACACTAGTTCTTGCCAACTGTTTACCAAGTAACTGAAAGACCACAATCCATCTAGCAGTGTGTGTAAACTGTAAAGAGCGTGTGCATTGCAGGACCGTGTTGAGTGACATCTTTACATAGGACCGAAGTACAAACGTACACTGTTTTCAAACAACAGAATTCTGATTAAAGAGAATGGAGTGATAGAATTGACAAATATTTTAGTGACCTGCCTCTGGGGTGGTGAGATTTCCAATACTCATCAATGACATAAACATCTCATTGGCCCGATCTCAAGAGCGGAATGAGATGGTGAGAAGCAGACAGGTGTGCAGGACAGTACTTGGCGTAGGGAGGGCCTGGGTGCTCCCTCCCACCGTTTCTACAAACTTGACATTCCCTGTTAGAAGGCTGGACCAGACACTGGAAGCCTGGCGTGAGTCTCAGATCTCTTCTGGAATGGGTGAGTTTGATCTGAGGATCTATGCGTTAAATTTTGCTCTGCACTCCCCAACTCAGGCCTTACTCTGCAGCCCTCGGGAGACACAAGTCCTGGGGGAGAGGGGCTCTGTGTCAAAGCTGCACCACCCCCACCGCCACACACAGAGCCACTGTCACCTTCAGAACAGTGCTCTGAGAAACGTTAGCCAGGGTGTGTGCTCCCAGAAGCCTTAGGAAACAAAGAGGAATGGTCACAGGCGTGCAAGCACATGTGACCCTTTGCACACTTCCTTCCAGACCACATGGTGGCTTACACGATCACCTGTTCAGAATCCTTGCACAGCATCTCATGGCCAGTCAGCTACATTTAAATGTCTTGCTCCAGCATAGTCATGTAAGCAGACCTCCACGCAGGGTCTCAGCCTACCCCGTCAACCAGTACGAGCCTGGGAGCAACGTAAAGGAGGCTCTGCATTGGCCCAAATGCTCCACAGACTCTGCCACACTGGGGTTTTTTGTTGTTGTTGTTTTGTTTTTTTGTGTTTTGTTTTTTTTGAGACAGGGTTTCTCTGTGGCTTTGGAGCCTGTCCTGGAACTAGCTCTGTACACCAGGCTGGTCTCGAACTCACAGAGATCCGCCTGCCTCTGCCTCCCGAGTGCTGGGATTAAAGGCGTGTGCCACCCATAGCCTGGCTTCTGCCACACTGTTAAATAACGTGAATCTAAAACAAGCTTCCCTGCCAGCACCCATAGGAAATGTATATTTTTTCCTCTAATCCACTGCTTTCAGCATAGAGTTGGTGGCCGTGTGTTACTTAGTTTTATTAAAGTTTTACCTGTTCAGAATTCAAGACCAACGGGACAGATCAGACACCCACTTAGAATGCACTGGCAGTATTCTGCCCTCTCCATGCACAGACACTGCTATACTAGACAGCAATGGGCACAGCAGTCATACAACAGCCCACGGTACTAGGCTAACTAGTGTGTGTATATATATATATATATATATATATATATATATATATATATATGCACCCTAAGTACTGGATTGTGTACCATACTTCAATTGCACTTTGAGTCTGCTAACGATATACAGAGAACTTATTTGCATGGAATAACTATGGAGACAGAGACATTATCTCTCTGTGAGCAGGCAGAAGGATGCCTGACCCAGCCAGCTCAGAGAATGTGGAAGTTGGAAGATGCCTTTTAGGATCACACAACTTGTCTGAGGAGCTCCAGACTGGTGCCATTCCCATCTCCACTTGCAGTCTTGCTAAGATGGACCTGCACCACTAATGTAACACATTTTACAAGGACACCCCTGCAGTCAGACATCCCTGGGTGGAAATTCTCAGGTGGAAAATCATGAGACAGACCAGACATATCCTTTTCTGGGTTGTGGACTTAGCCAGCTAGTCCTCCAGTGATGTGGGAGGTCCTTCTAAATATGTGTTGCTTTTATTGGTTAATCAATAAAGAAGCTGCTTGAGCCTATGACAGGGCAGAACAGAGCAAGGCAGGGGAAACTAAACTAAATGCTGGGAGAAAGAAGGTAGAGTTGGGGAGAATCCATTTAGCTGCCAGAGGAGACCTTACCGGTAGGCCACAACCTCGTGGTGATATACAGATTAATAGAGATGGGTTAATTTAAGATGTAAGAGCTAGCCAGAAATATGCATAAGCTAATAGGCCAAGTGGTATTTTAATTTATACAGTTTCTGTGTAATTATTTCAGATCTGGGCAGCCGGGAATAAACGAGCAGCCTCCGCCAGCACTCTAAGAGCAAGATGCACCAACTTGAATGCTTTGAGATCCCTGGTCACGTCAACCAGGTGTTTGAAAGGTAGATAGTTACCAGTGATACTGTGGACGGTGAGTGGGTGGTGATCCCATGGGAATGAAAGGAAGCATAGTGGCCTCAAAGCCAATCCTTTCTCACCTTTGGGGGTTCACTAGCTCATCCAGGATGCACAAGGCACAGACGCTGACGGGGACATTCTTGCACTGTGCCCCAGAGCTTGCTGCTGTCAATCCTCATTTCTTCTTCCATCCTTCCTTGATTGTCACCTCTGCCACAGCCTACCCACTTCCCTTCCTGTCCCCAACTCTTTACCTCTCAGACACAACAAGCTCCATCCTCTAAAGGCTCCCAGGCCTTACACAAGTTTTCAGTACTATGACAGTACTATATCTGATATCACTCAAGGGAGGAACAACTTGCTTTGGCTCATGGTTTGTAGTCTCAGTCTAGGCTGGCCAGCTTCCTTGATTATGGCTCCAAAATGAAGCAAGCCCTGGCGGTGGGGGGGGGGGGGGGCACAGCAAAGCAAAGCTCTCACCTCATGGAGACCACCTCGCCATCATAGGCCTTCAGCAACTCACTTTCTCTCCAAACAATATCATCAATTCAGCACCCATCGGCGGGTCACTCACTGGCAAGATCATCCAACCCAGCCGCTTCCCCACAGCCCAGCAGCTAGCAACCACACCTTAGCACAGCCTCAAAGAACATTCCAGATTCAGATCGTAAGGGGCCTAAAGGGACTGCTGGCCACCTGAGAAACTGTGGGCAAGAATATAAAGGCCACTGCATTGTTTGGGCTTCTGACCGGAGGAGCTGGTGCACGAGGACCACTGTGTGCAGCTTGCTACACTCGGAAATGACTTTGCATCAAGCAGGGGCTGATTGATGTGGCGTTGGCATCGTGAGCCACTGTGCCTGGTTTTCTAGGTGACTCTAATCTACAACAAAGAGTTCTGCACATAGGTAAGATACAAAGAAGGACTTTCTAGCAGCTGGAGGCTCAAATGTTAGAACAAGTGAACTAAGTTCTCACTGAACTCCTGTTTCACGGGCTTTAAACAAAGTATCTCTCCTAATTATCAGAATGAATGACGTTGGTGGCCTTTTTAACACCCTTGAAAAACAATTATTCCCAGATTAAGGTTTTAAGATATAAGATGGAATTACACTGCTAAAAAGAAACTGAGGTTTTGTGGTTGTCAAACCCACTGCTCTAAAACTGCTTTTCTTGCAAAATCTTAAAAATATTACAACTCTAGCACAAAGCAAGGGCAGTGACTTCACAGACAGCTACAAGACAGTTCATACATTCACTGCAAGAACAGAATGCCCCCCCCCTCAGATGGCTCAGCAGCTAAGAGGAAAGCCAGATGTGGTGGCTGACGCCCACAACCCCAGCACTCCCGGATGAGATGGAAGACTGGCCTATCAGCCAGGGGCTCCCGTGAGAGCAGCACTGGACCGGAGACCTCCACACTGCAGCACTCTCCCAGACCCCAAAACAAGACTAACCAAGGTTCTAATGTAGAGAATTAAGGAAATGCCACAGAAAGCTGGAGCAAATTTTAAGTGCAGGTGACAGGGAAGCCAG